TAGATCCGTATATACCAGACCATGAGTGAATGTTCCCCTTATTTTCTAGCTTTACAACAATCTGTGACTGTTTGACCATACGTGTGCAATATTAAACAGTGATTCCTATCCAAGGGTGTGTGTATACTTCAGGGAGTATATAGTAATATCAATGAAACCCATGATAATGTGATAGGAACATATTTCTGGTTCATTTTGATAAAGGGATTTTTTTAAAGCCACAGTGATGTGTTTTGGGAATCACCAAAGCTGACAAATCTAGGACAGTCTTGTGAGATTTTTTTTTTAGCGAAAGGCACTTTATTTGATGTGTCATTGCTGATTTTGAAGATGACATGCAAATCATGACGCAATATGGTTGAACCAAATTGTGGCCATCAATGAATGTTCACGAATAAAAGTCTCTTTTACTTTATTCTTCATATTCAATTTAACATACAGTTGAAGTCAAAATGATTAGACCTACTTTCTTTTTTCAAAAATTCACAAATATTGTTTAACAAAGCAAGGAATTTTTCATAGTATTTTCTATATTTTTTCTTCTATTGAAAGACTTATTTTTATTTTTATTAGAATTAAAGCAGTTTTAATAATATCAACAATGAAAAACATTTTATCAAATATCTATATATATATACACACACACACACACACACACACACACACACACACACACACAAGCCACACACACACACACACACAGCAGCCTCTCCTTTCTGCAGCTCCAGACATGTTCAAACACACACACAAACACACACTCAGTGAAAGTGTGAGCGACTACAGGAGAAAGGAAAATAAAATACAAGTGAAATTACTCACTTCCTTTAGTTAGCAACTTACTCCACACACAATGAGTCAGGAAGCGACCACTCGTCTGAACACACACACACACACTTAACTTAGTGTAATGCAAGAGTGTGTTTGTGCACGTGAGATAAAGCAGTGCTGAAAAAGTGAGCACATTCCAAACAATTCACAGAGAACACACACACATATGCATACACACACACACACACACACACACACACACACACACATGCATGCATGCATATATACACACCCACCTCTCACAAACACACTCTCACATGCACACATTCATATATATGCATACATGCACACACATACACACACAATGAACTCATATACACACACACACAGACATACGCATATATATACAGACACACACATGCAAGCATATAAACACACACACCCTTACAGACATACACAGCTACACACAAACACACACACACACACACAAACACACTCTCACATGCACACATTCATATATATGCACACATACACACACAATACATATGTACAAAACACAAAAAATACAAAACACACACACACACACACACACATATAGACATCAAACAACATTTCTGCTTTAAATAGCACTCATTAAGGCAGCACGGTGGCTCAGTGGTCAGCACTGTGGCCTCAGAGCAAAGAAAGTCGCTGGTTCAAGTTCTGGTTGGGTCAGTGTGTGTTTCTGTGTGGAGTTTGCATGTTCTCCCCGTGTTGGTGTGGGTTTCCTCCGGGTGCTCCGGTTTCCCCCACAGTCCAAACACATGCGCTATAGAGGAACTGATCAACTACACTGGCCGTAGTGTATGAGTGTGTGTGTGTGAATGAGTGTGTGTGTGTGTTTCCCAGTACTGGGTTGCAGCTGGAAAGGCAGCTGGAAAGGCATCCGTTGTGTAAAACATATGCTGGAATAGTTGGCGGTTCATTCCGCTGTGGTGACCCCTGATGAATAAAGGACTAAGCTGAAGGAAAATGAGTGAATATCAATCATTAACTATCATTATTAAACCTGAGGTGTCACACTGCATTACACAAAATAAAAATCACACGATTTTTCTGAGCCAAGACGGCACAAATCAATCAAAAAGCAAAATAAATAAATAAACAAACAAACAAAGACGGACAGTAATTAAACACTGAAGTAACGAGCCAATAAAACGTCAGCTTTAGCTCCCCTTCTGTTTAGAAAAGCGCCGGAGCGTGTCCAAGATGCATTTATTTATTAATCTGCTCTCCGCTATGTGCGCTGACAGCACAGATGGCCCAATGGAAAGAAGAAGAGATGAAAGGAGGAGGATATGGGATAAAATATATATTACGATATTCTGCAACAATCCATACCTATTCCCTACTTCTAAACCCAACCACAACTGCAAACTATTCCCACAATCAGAGGAATAATGGTTAGATAACACTCATGTAGATGTGCATACGCCTAAACTCAACATACACTCTAGACATATCCCTTAATTCTGATCGGCTGATTGGAACGGTGTCCCAGGATCAACATAGATGTTCATCCAGGATCATGTCCTACCTGGTGAAATCAGGTTGGTGAATTATAAATACAGTCTTGTTAATAGTAATTTTTACATTAAAACAAACCAAACAATCTGCCAACAAGGGAAGTGACGTGATCTTGTTTAAACTTTTGATATAAGATTATTACACGATTATTATTAAGAGAGATTATTAAGATTATTAAGATTACATTCCCCCATTGTCAGATGATTCTGCTTGTTTTAATGTAAACTTCACTCAATTTTGACTCATTATTTCTGTAAACAAGACTATATTGTTGTGCCCGTCTAAAAAAAGCTTCTTTATTTAAGTGTTTGTAGATATTTGGACGAGAAACGAGTGAAAAACTCTAGGTAAGAGTGATATTATTGTGCAGTGTGGTGTCAAACATGAAACACACAGCGAGTGTCATGCTGGAGTCACACTGAGAGAATGATTAAACTGTGAATCCTCGACTCAAACTGAGAGAAACAGACGGAGGAAAAACCATCTGAAATACTGCAGGCTTCTCTACAATACACTGAAAATCAGCATCTCTGCTGCAGATCACTAACAAATATTCACAAATCTGCATCTTCAGTTATGCAAAACAACAGAGAAATAATAATAATAACAAATAAATAATTAATAATGGTCAAAAACAAAACAAAAAAATCCAGTGTAAAGTCTAAGACACTGATGCATAAACTTTCTTATCAAGGCCAAAAACTAAACCTAATTGCAGGCTGAAGGCAGAAGTTAAAAAGTCACCATGGGGAATGTCCTTATTTATTTCATAATATTTAAAAATAAATAAAACATTACTATAGAATAACAAACAAACAATTCCATTCAGAACACAATGGACTCGATGCAGGCTGCACATCCTTTTGCATTGATTTGCTAGCCAAAGTCTTGTGTGTTGCAGGGACGTGAGGTCAGGGGAGGCAGGTGAAACAGCTGACAAATAAGACTCAACTCATCACTCTAATTAATCAACAGGAATTACCTAAATAAGCTGCATGCATACCTACAGGATTTACATAAATTAACCAAAATCCACATCAAAACACCACCAAAAACAACTCAAAATGACTCCAAACTAAATGAATCAACTCAAAAGTCTTTGGTAACACGTTCTATTAAGTTAATGCTGATAATTAATTATAACTCTGTTTAGAAATATTTATAATCAGTCTATAAATGTAAACGCAAAACAATCTTACATCATCAAATGGAAAAACTAGATGCGTTTTTGAACATTAATGAACTACACGATGCAGGACATTAGTTACTGTCCCCTCGGCAGCCAATGAGCTTACTCCTCATCAGTTTAAACACTCTGCATTGCTTTAAGCTGTTCAAGCTGCAGCGACCCTCCTCCACCCCCACTCCACCTGTGTTTAGATCTGCCACAGGGGTTGCATTTATATTATGTCATCATATATACAGTATATTATATTCTCAGAGTGCATGTCTGTGTATATACTGGCAGTAGCAGGTCTCGCTACTTGCTCTGCCATAATAATCATATATAATCCTACAGCAGATATACACCACCACCAAGACCAAATACATCAACACTTCCAAATACACAGTCATTACCATACTCCCGAGAGTTGCTCATGACAGAAATTGTTTTATGTTCACTCCACTTAAAACACAACCCAGAGGAATCCTAGCTGTTGGTTTAGTGTAGAAAGTGTCACCAAATCTTTGAACAGTGAACAGTCCTTGTTTATTCCTTTTGGAAACAACAATAACATAAACCCATTCAAACAGGTGAGATGATGATGATGATGATGCAGGAATAATTACTGAACAGACTCATGAATTTCCTCTAAGTGAAGCAGCCGTTTCACTCCGCCTGAAGCAATCTGAGCGTCTAAATGACTCTTGCTTTTGCGTTTGCAGCACTAAGCAGACAAATAAACAGTGAGGAAATTAAACAGCACATCTCCGAGACTCACTCACCGCACATCTAGAGGAAGTCATGCCAAGACTGCTGTACTTACTTACAGTTTCTGTCTTGTTTCTAGTCCAAATATCGACAAATTCATAAATCAGTCAGCATTTTCTAGACAAGCACAAAATAAAGTCTTGTTTTCAGAAATATGAGTCAAAATAAAGCGAGACTAGCTAAATAATCTGCCCATGGAGGAAGTGAAATAATATGAAGTCAACTTATGTCTTTATTTATAAAGTGTTTTCGACTGTACTTCATAGTCAATTTGCAGTTTAATTAGTTTAAAACATGTCTTTTCTCTGAACGTGTCTATACAATAAAGCAGTGTTTCTCAACCACGTTCCTGAAAGAGCACCAGCTCTGCACATTTTCCATGTCTTCTTAATCAAACACACCTGATTCAGATCATCAGCTCATTAGCAGAAACTGAAAAAGGAGACATCCAAAACATGCAGTGCTGGTGGTCCTACAGGAAGGTGGTTGAGAAACACTACAATAAAGCAATACACTACATATTTATTGGTTAACATATCTGTTAAAGTCATCTTTTTTTGCAGCTGTGGATATTATATATGTGATAATACTTTACACAATGATAATAATAATAATAATAATAATTCCTTACATTTATATAGCGCTTTTCTGGGCACTCAAAGCGCTTTACACAGTGGGGGTAATCTCCTCATCCACCACCAGTGTGCAGCATCCACCTGGATGACGCGACGGCAGCCATTTTGCGCCAGACCGCACACCACACACCAGCTGATTGGTGGAGAGGAGACAGTGATGCAGCCAATTGAATATGGGGATGGTTAGGAGGCCATGATGGACAAAGGCCAGTGGGCAGATTTGGCCAGGATGCCGGGGTTAAACCCCTACTCTTTTTCGAAGAACATCCTGGGATTTTTAACGACCACAGAGAGTCGGGACCTCGGTTTAGCGTCTCATCCGAAAGACGGCGCTCACTGAGCAGTATAGCGTCCCCGTCACTATACTGGGGCATTAGGACCCACACAGACCACAGGTTGGGCGCCCCCTGCTGGCCTCACTAACACCACTTCCGGCAGCAACCTAGCTTTCCCATGTGGTCTCCCATCCAGGTACTGACCGGGCGCAGCCCTGCTTAGCTTCAGTGGGCGACCATGTGAGAGTTGCAGAGAGCTAGCTGCCGGCTAAACCCTTCATCAATTAATCACAAGAAAGTTTGATTATTTTGCTTGTTTTATGCAAAAACTCACTTAAATTTGACTCATTATTTCAGTAAGCAAGACTATATTTAGTGCTCGTCTAGAAAACGCTGACTGATTTCAGCATTTGTAGATATTTGGAGTAGAAATGAGACAAAACTCTAAGTTAGAAAAGCATTTTTTGCAAGTAACCCTTAAATAACCCATAAATAAATCCTAAAAAAGCCATTTAAATCAAACTTTAACTTTAAATCAGAAAGTTTTGAATAGCCATGAGATCGTGTTGGCTGAGCAGCGCAGAAGATTCATATTTTCAACATTTTCTCTTACCGGCCATCATCTTCTGGGCTTCATAAGGCTCCATGTACCCGTCATTCTCTGGGGGTTTTTCTGTGGTGGTCTGTGTGCCGCCGGCCTGATCCGCAGCGTCAAACGGGTCCGCATAATCCTCCAGGATGATCAGCTAATTCACATAAAACAAGAGGGAAAATTAGCTAAATATCCTCTAAATCTTAAAGGGATAGTTCACGCAAAAATTCACATTTGCTCACTTTACTCAGTTCAAACTATTGACGATATTTTGAAGAAACCTGTAACCATTCACCTCATACTATGGAAGTCAATGGTTACAGGTTTCCAAGATCCTTCAAAATATCTTCTTTAGTGTTCAGCAGAAGAAGGAAACTCATAAAGGTTTGGGAACAAGTAGAGGGTGAGTGACAGAATTTTCCTTTTTTGTGAACTGTGCCTTTAAAGAGCACCTATGCTGCAGAAATCACTTCTATGTGGGGTTTAACGGCAGTTGTGTGTCAGCAGTGTGTGAGCATCTCTAGCAGCCTCTGATGGTCAACATGAAGTTATTGTGTTTGTTCTAATCAGACTTGATGCAGAAACACTTTGATTGACATTCTGCCTTTGTAAGTGTCATCAGAGGGGGAAAGCCCCGCCCACTAGTGCCCATCTCTCCCTCATTAGCATAAACACCAGCCCTGAGTGAGAAGCAGCCGTCTGCCAGTTTTTAATCTGTCACTATACTGACACATAGGTGTTTGTAGCTCCGCCCTCTTCTGAAAAAGAGCACAATCTCATTTGCATTTAAAGCGCCAAAACACCCCAGTTAGGATCAAAGCCTGAAAGGGTCAGTTTCAGAGAGCTGGAGAACATTATGTGTGTGTGTTCTCAACTCAAACCGAGACACACTTTAAATTATAATAGGTCCCCTTTAAGAAAAATTAAATAAATCACAGGTTTACTAATTATTCAAAACTCAAATCATCTACATCTATTTGATTAATTATTCAATTTATTTATTATCTAATCATTGCCACGTCAGCAACTTATGGCTATTTCATGGCAAAAAGAATATACATAAAAATGTTACATGATAAAAATAAAAGAGTTACTTACACAAATATAGAAAATAGAAATAAATTAAATTCACACAAAAATACATTCAAAGTTAAATATGATTTTTCAGTTGATTTTTTGATAAAAACTCAAGATTCTTCATGGTGGAACATTTTTAAAACACTCCATTAAATTCCTCTGCTTATAAAAATAACGGTATTCAAACTTCCACATTCCAGCATAACATGTTTCATGGTAAGAGCAGTCTGGCAGTAATCATATTTCAATCATTTGATTAAAAATCAGTGACAACTTCAGTCAGTGACAACTAATCAAAAAAACAACAACTTTACATTGCAAAGGCAGCACAGACAACAAAACCTGGAGAATGTGTGTTTACACAAAGCGTTCTGAGAAACACAGAAACAGACCTGCTTTTAATATCTTTACTATCCCTTTTCAACATCTTTATTATTATGATTATTTGTTTACTAACACTTTTTAGGTTAAGTAACAAATCTTACTATTAACTAGTGGCCTAATACATGCCTATTGTTATGATTTCAGCTGTTTATTAGCATTTATAAAGCATATATACGTTATTATCTTATTCTACATCTCTATTTCTACTTAAACCCAACCAGTATCTTAATAACTATTAAGCAGCAAACTGAAACCAAAAGTCATAGTTGACGGTTTAATAATAGGAAGAATTGTACATTAAAGTAAAGTGTGACCCTTTGTTTTTATTCCTTTTTTTTTTAAATCTCACTTAACCCAAGCTGAGTTTATTAAAGTTTGCACAAAACATGAAGCACGTCTGGGCTACCATGCAGAACAGAATCAAAGCACAGAGTCCTATTCTCAAACTTTCATCAATTTATTTCCATCCCACTGTTCCTCTCTCCACAGGTACGAGACTCCAGATGCAAAAACTCGACATCTGTGGAGAAACACACAGAAGGAACCAAACTCAAAGATACTGTAATTATACAATTCACACACAGATACTCTCAAAAACTACACTAGATCTGTATCTTGGCCAAGAATCACTCAGCTACACCACAGGTCACTTGACTTTAGCAATAACAAAGCACAGTCTTACTGTCTGTGACGCTGCTGTCTGTAGGTACATGAACAAAATAAAGATTTCAAAACCATTCATGAACAAAAAGAACATCACATTTAGATTTTCATTCATTCATTCATTCATTCATTTATTTTCTTCCGCCTTTCCAGAGCCGGGTCACAGGGGCAGCAGTCTCAGGAGAGAACCCCAGACTTCCCTCTTCCCAGACACTTCCTCCAGCTCCTCCGGGGGGATCCCGAGGCGTTCCCAGGCCAGCCGAGAGACATAGTCCCTCCAGCGTGTCCTTGGTCTTCCCCGAGGCCTCCTCCTGGTGGGACATGCCTTGGACAACTCTGCAGGTAGGCATCCAGGAGGCATCCGAAACTGATGCCCGAGCCACCTCAGCTGACTTCTCTGGATGTGAAGGAGCAGTGGCTCTACTCCGAGCTCCTCACCTTATCTATAAGAGTGCGTCCTGCCACCCTGCCAAGGACACTCATTTCAGCCGCTTGTATCTGAGATCTTGTCCTTTCGGTTATAACCCAAAGCTCATGACCATAGGTGAGAGTAGTATTGTAGATTGACCGGTAAATCGATAGCCTTGCCTTTTGGCTCGTCTTCTTTACCACAATGGATCAGTACATCGACCGCAGTACTGCTGCCCTGATCTGTCAATCTCAAGCTCCATCCTTCCCGAACTCCTGAACAAAACCCCACCATACTTGAACTCCTCCACCTGGGGTAAGGACTTTCCTCCAACCTGGTGATGTCAAACCACCTTTTTCAGGTGGAGCACCATGGCCTCGGACTTGGAGGTGCATATTTCTGATTATTATTTTTAAATTACAACAGAAAACAAACTACATGTAAAACAGACTGAATGAATTAGGCCACTTATTGAAATACCCTGGAGTATTGGAAACAACCTGCAGTGTTATTATGGGTTATTGCAAGAGTTTAAAAACATGATGACTTTAATATAGCAGATGAAGGTGAATAAAGCTACTGTAAAAAGTTCACCTCTGAATCTCAGAGAATCATTAAAAGTTCTAGCCATGATTTTATTCATGTTTATTTAATGATATTGTAGCACAGAGTTTGCTTTGCTTAACCAAATTTGTTCTAAAGGGCAAAACCGTTCTCATTAGTATTGGGGATTTTCCTGCTCTCTAGCAATATTAAACTGTGGCGTCCCACAGGGCTCTGTTCTGGGTCCGATTTATTTTCACTGCTTGTGTGTCCTGCTTATGTTTTCCAGAAACTTTTATATAATCTCTATGCTAATGATTCACAGCAGTCAAACACTTTAAAATAATAATCACTCTCTTTCCACAATCCATTACTGTTGGCCTGCCACAGACTAATTGGGATGATTTTGTAGGGGAGTGCATTTGCATAAAATATAATAAACTGATTACAAGCAAAGATAAACAAAGCAGAGCAGAGATACAGGTGAAATTAACAGTGCTTTTTACATCTCAATCTAAGGCCTGTGAAGATATATATGATTCGTTTCCTAATAAAGAGTAAATTAATCTCAGAGATTACAGATTTAAAGTTCTGGTGATGACTTTAATTCATGATTATATGATTATACTGTAGAAAGTAGCAAAGCACAGGATTCACTTTGCTGAATACAACCAGATCTGATCAAAAGAGCAAAACCATTTTCATTAGTGTTTAGGGATTTTCCATCTATATAGTAATATTACACTGTGGTGTCCCACAGGGTTCAGTTCTGGGCCCGCTTTACTTTCTCACTATTTCTGTTGTCCACAAACATTTCCTTTTCCCCCTATGCTAATGATTCACAGTTGTCAAACACTTTACAATATCACTCATTCACCATCCACAATGTATTACTGTAGGCCTGGTATTGTGGTATAATCCGTGTGCAGTATGTTTGAGGCGGTCAGCGAGGGACTGTGGGTGGTTTTGTGGGTGTGCCGTCTGAGACTAAGACGACTCAAAAGTCAGACAAAGACATTGAACAGAGGAAGACTATTCCGTTCACACAACACTGCACAAACACAAGCTTCGGCACGCAGACACGTTTAATTGCAGGCCTCTTCTTTCTCTAAAGGGTATGATGGTAATTAGATGCACATGACCAACGCTCGCAGATTCACTCGCTGCTGCTAGACTGTTTGTCATATCGGAATTTAGTCTCCTGACACCACAAAGCTGTAATCAACAACTCCGGCCTTCAAAATACACCATCGAGGGAGGATGTGACAAAACAATTCACTTCTGTACGAGGAAGTGTTGTGCTGGAATTCCAGTCATCCAACGGAGCGTAAAATACAAGCTACACTAAGATTAATGCACGTGTGACAGCAAGCATGCAATCACACATTGCTTTCTGCAACTGTAACACAGGAAACGGAGATATCGTTTCACAACACTGTTCACTATAGACCAAAAACAGTACATACATGAACAACACTGGAACAAACTGACACTGCCATATTTAGTTTTCCTGCAATGCATGTTGATATATCAATATAACTGGACCAAATGATTTGGAAAGATCTATTTGGGGGAAAAAATTATAATTATAAATTAATCTGCATAAATATTATAAACAAATGACTAATTACTATAGAAAAATACACAGAGCAAACATACAAAAGAAACAAACAGTGCTTTTTTTCAGGACACCTAATGAAAATATGTACACTCACTTTATTAAGTACACCTGTCCAACTAATTGTTACCGCAAAGTTCCAATCAGCCAATCACAGGGCAGCAGCTCAATGCATTTTGGCATGTAGACATGGTCAAGAGGATCTGCTGCAGGTCAAAGTGAGCATCAGAATGGGGAAGAAAGGGGATTTAAGTGACTTTGATCGTGGCATGGTTGTTGCTGCCAGACGGGCTGCTCTGAGTATTTCAGAAACTGCTGATCTACTGGGATTTTCACGCACAACCATCTCTAGGGTTTACAGAGAATGCTCCGACACAGAGGAAATCTCCAGTGAGCGGCAGTTCTGTGGGCTTGTGGATGCCAGAGGTCAGAGGAGAATGGCCAGACTGGTTCCAGCTGATAGAAAAGCAACAGTAACTCAAATAAGCACTCGTTACAACCGAGCTCTGCAGAAGAGCATCTCTGAACACACAACACGTCCAACCTTGAGGCGGATGGGCTACAGCAGCAGAAGAGCACACCGGGTGCCGCTCCTGTCAGCTAAGAATAGGAAACTGAGGCTACAATTCACACAGACTCACCAAAACTGGACAATAGAAGATTGGAGAAACGTTGCTGCTCTGATGAGTCTCCATTTCTGCTGACACATTCAGATGCTCGGCTCACAATTGGCCTCAACAACATGAAAGCATGGATCATCCTGCCTTGTATCAGCGGTTCAGGCTGGTGGTGGTGGTGTAATGGTGTGGGGGAGATTTTCTTTGGGTCCATTAGTACCAATTGAGCATCAACGCCACAGCCTACCCGAGTATTGCTGCTGACCATGTCCATCCCTTTATGAGCACAGTGTCTCCATCTTCTGATGGCTACTTCCAGCAGGATAACGCAGCATGTTATAAAGCTCAATCATCTCAGACTGGTTTCTTGAACATGACGATGAGTTCACTGTACTCAAATGGCCTCCACAGTCACCAGATCTCAATCCAATAGAGCAGCTTTGGGATGTGGTGGAACGGGAGATTGGCATCATGGATGTGCAGCCGACAAATCTGCAGCAACTGTGTGATGCTATCATGACAATATGGAGCAAAATCTCTGAGGATTATTTCCAGTAACTTGTTGAATTTCTACCACCAAGGATTAAGGCAGTTCTGAAGGCAAAAGGGGGACCAACTTGACACTAGTAGGTGTACATAATAAAGTGGCCCGTGAGTTTGTACTGTATATATTGTAATCAATGTCAAATAAGTTACTATATTAAATTATTCGCTCAATAAAAGTGCTTAGAGTTGTGTCAGGAACATAATTTGATCAAAGAAATTGTTTTATTTTTCTTAGAGTGAAAGCTGTAGGGATAATGATTACATGTTGGAGTTAGCAACACTATCTGCAGTTTAAAGCAAATCCTGCAGCTGATTTTGCCCCAGAAACAGGGAAAGCGTTCAGTGCCATCTGCTGCGCCGGTCCCTGACGGAGGTTTGGACTTTGATTTTGGACGAGTCTCTGTATTCCTCTGGGGCAGAAGGTCCACCATATGAGATGGTTTGGAGCAAATCAAGCACAGCAGAAGCTGAATCCAACACAGGCTCATATGTGATGCATGCTTCAGTCTTCATTATTGTGGAACTTTAAAATCGTACTTCAACGTTTGTTGTAGGTCGGCCCGTCCCGATATATATTTTTGTTTGTACAATATATATTGCACCAAAATATAGTGCAATAAACCATATTATTGTCATTTTAAGACCATTTTATGCCATGTATGTTGCCAGAACTCTTCCAAAGAACACATCATATTTCATTATTAAGAATATTTCATTTTATTATAGTAATTTTAACTACTTAATAATCAGGCGTTAGAGTGAGCAAACGTATATAATAAATTAATAATAATATGTTAACAATAAAGGGCAAGGTAAAGAGTAACAGAGGCTGCGATATTTGCTGCCAGATCTATTATCAGCTGTCAGACACACACATGACAATATAGTCATTTATAGTAAATACGACAGTGTTTTTAGCAATACTGACACTTCTAGTAGAGATAGAGATGCTGCGCACAGATCAGCTCAAATGTTGCTAGACTTTGTTGTTTTTTTATGTATGGGTGATATATACTGCATCTGCATATGAGTGTGAATGAGTGTGTGTGGATGTTTTCCAGAGATGGGTTGCGGCTGGGAGGGCATCCGCTGCTTAAAAAAAACATGCTGGATAAGTTAGCGGTTCATTCCACTGTGGCACCCCTATATTAATAAACGGACTAAGCAGAGAAGAAAATGAATGAATGAATAAACTGTTCTCCCAGTACTGCTGTGTTATTTAACCATTTGTATCTGCATAACTAACTCAAAACACTAAAGACTCAATCTCTTTCTTAATTTTTGCATGTTCAGATTTAAATGAAGCGATTGAGAGAATTAATAGGCATATGCAAATCACCGTCATTTATAATTGATGTGGCGTGGGTGTTGAGATCCTGATCTTTTACTGATTAATCATGCAACTTACACTGAATGCATTCATGCAGGCTGAACAACAGAAAACACCTTTAATAACCTGAGAAACCCAGCACAACTTCTTCTGTCCTCATTAGATTTTACAGGAAAGCCTCAATGTTTTCATGCATGTGATTTAAATGACGCGAGAGGTGATCTCGTTACACATTTAGCAAAATAATAAAATGTAATAATCTGTGTTTTCCGAACGGGACAAATCACATATCAACCGTGATCTGCTACATCCCTAACCTACACTGTAAACAAATCCGGAAATTAGCAGATTTCCAAAATTGCTCCATATTTTAGTTATATTTTTTAGTCGCATTATGGGATCTTCCAACAACTTTTAACCTTAAAAAGTGTGTAAAAGTGTGTTTCCTGCACATGTGTAATAGTCTGCAGTGCTGTATTGTCTGTGTTCGTGTTGTATATTAAGCTACAGAAACCTTGTAATTTTCTGATATTTTACAGACAAGATATTATTTCTTATACATTATTTCAAACCCCTAATATTAATAACATTTTAATAATCCATAAAACACTGTGTTATCTGAATAGTTGAATTTTTAACATCAGAAGTGGACAGAGCAGAGATCAACATCCCATAATGCAGCTCACAACCGAAAATCAAGCGAAAACACCAGAAAATACGGTCACCTCACAACTTTTACAGAGCAATTTTAAATATAATGACATCACAAATACTTCTCAGTATACATCACACATTTCAAGAACATCACGAAAACCGCAGTCTCGGCTACATCATGCAAAACAGCAGTCATCAAGCAGCTGCTAAAATAAACAAACAGCATTCATCACACATACTTCACAATCTTTCTGTAAAGCCACTTTGGAAATGCTCCTCTGTAATTGTTCTCTACGGCTTGCGGTCAGAGAAAGACAAGAGCCAGACCATAATTGGAGATCTACAAATAGACCTCATATAAGCAACATAAACTGCAATCGTCCAATCACGACATTTGGATTCATGTTTATCTGACAAATGCAGGATCAAATACAAACTTCATGAAGGTAGGCCTGTCTCAATAATCAACATATGGACTCATCACACAACACATGGACATGAGCTCAAGCATTTATGATGATGCAGTATATGTCGCCCATACATAAAAACAATTCTATCAACATTTGTGCAGCATCTCTATACTGGAGGTGTCAGTATGGTTAAACACTGTAGTATTTACTATAAATCACTGTCGTATATTTAAATTTGGGTGTCTGAAGACTGAAAATAGATCTGATATCACAGCCTCTGTTATCCTGCACTTTATTGCTAACATTCATTATTATTTATTTAGCATATCTGTTTTCACACTCTGACACCGATGGCTGATTATTAAACTGTTAAAATTGCTGTAATTATATTAAATATTCTTAAGAATTAAATATGATGTGTTGTTTGGAAAAGTGTACTTGCATTGTGATCATATTATATTGTGATTCCGGCATCATAAGCAGCATAAAATGGTCTTGAAATGACAGTAATATCATTTATGGCAATATATTTTAGTGCAATATATATCCTACAACAAAAATAGAGATGGTGACAGGCCTACATGATGGTGTTCACTTCTTACTTTAAGAATTTTCTGACAACACTGGAAGTAATTTGTCTTGATATCCGGCTGTAATAAACTGCGGCGTCCCACAGGGCTCTGTTCTGGGTCTCGTCTTATTTTCATTAGATGCGTGTCCTTTGGGCTCAGTTTCCCACAAAACACAAATTCTCTTTTTATATCAGCTAATATTGACTGAGAGCCGTCCGACCACTCGAACCAGGTGAACACGCTATCGTCACAACCAAGATCACCTTCAAATCTTGATTAGTTATAAACCTGTTTAATGCGTCAAGAGATAAGCGCTGACAGAGATCTGCAACTGCTCAACTTCATTCTGTGATGAGCAGATGTGGGTAAGGTTACTTGAAAAATAGTTAGTAATTACATCATTAATAAGGTATTTCAATTGCTTTCTAGTTATAGTCTGAAAAAGTAACTTAAATACTCAATAAAGTATTTAAATATGACTTAATATGACTTAAAATCAGGGCGAGGCAGTGGTGCAGTAGGTAGTGCTGTCACCTAACATCAAGAAGGTCGCTGGGTCGAACCTCAGCTCAGTTGGTGTTTCTGTGTGGAGTTTGCATGTTCTCCCTGCATTCACATGGGTTTCCTCCGGGTGCTCCGGTTTCCCCCACAGTCCAAAGACATGCGGTACAAGTGAATTGGGTAGGCTAAATTGTCCGTAGTGTATGAGTGTGTGTGTGAATGTGTGTGTGGATGTTCCCAGAGATGGGTTGTGGCTGGAAGGGCATCCGCTGCGTAAAAACTAGCTGGATAAGTTGGCGGTTCATTGAGCTGTGGCAACCTCGGATTAATAAAGGGACTAAGCCGACAAGAAAATGAATGAATTAATGAATGAATGACTTAAAATCCCCCAAAATCTTTAATTTAATAGATTCAAGCATGGCCTATTACTATATTACCAAATGTGAACAGAAGTACTCTGAAATATTTCATGTTTTGATGCATTTGTTCACCTTCTCTTTTTTTTTTTTTTTTTGCAAAGCAACAACACCTTATTTCATGCATTGCATATATATTACCATTGACTAATTTCTTACTCATTTCACTGTTTGTAAGCATGTGCAAATAAAAAAATACTTTTATAATAAAGGACCAATAAATAAATGAATACATAATGTAATATAGTGTAAAACATCATATATGCATATACTATGTCTATAATTTACACATAATAAATAAATGTAATACATAATATATAGATATGGGTCTATAATATATCTATATTTGCACATAATAAAAAAATAGGGGCGACACGGTGGCTCAGTGGTTAGCATTGTGACCTTACAGCAAGAAGGTCACTGGTTCGAGCCCCGGCTGGGTCAGTTCTTCTCGTGTTGGTGTGGGTTTCCTCCGGGAGCTCCAGTTTCCCCCACAGTCCAAACACATGCGCTATAGGGGAACTGATCAACTACACTGGGCGTAAAACATGCTGGAATAGTTGGTGGTTCATTCCGATGTGGCGACCTCAGATAAACAAGGGACTAAGCCGAAGGAAAATAAATGAATGAATGAATAAATAAATTTAATACATATATAATATACTTTAATAGATAAAATAAGTGTATAATAAAGGTTTATAATTGACCTAAATATATATAGTTTGTCATATAGTTATTCTATATTATTAAATAAATAAACTCTCTCTCCCCGTCTGTCCTGCATGACACTCGTCCAGAATGCAGCTGTCACTCTTCTGACAGAAAACAGAAATGAGGAAATGTATTGCATAATAATACAGCAGTCTTGGCTTTCCTCCAGCACAAAACTGAGTTTAATCTGCTGCTGAATGTGCTGTTAATCCTCAACTTCTCATCACAATACACTACTGATGTTCTCCAGACACGGATAATCAATATATCAAGCCATTGCACAAGTGATGGTTCTCAAAACATAAACAGTGATAAACTTTGGAGACCTTGTGAAACAAAGAAAAATCCAGCCAGGACATAAAACAAATGATCTGATCTGAATATCTCCACAAATTTGTTCTAATAGGTCTAAAAAACTAATTATTTAGATAGTTGAGGCCAAAATGATTCACCCTTCTGTGAAATATGCACTGCATTCTTCTTCAAATATTTCCCAGATTCAGGAATTGTTCTCAGTGTTTCCTCTAATATTTGTTTTTCTGGAGAAAGTCTTATTTGTTTTATTTGGGCTAGAATAAAAGCAGTTTTCAATAGTGTTAAAGTCATGTTAAGCTCAATATTATTGGCCCCTTCAGCAATATTAGTGTTGGATTGTCTCCAGAACAAACCACTGTTATACAATGACTTGCCTAATTACCCTAACTTTACCCTAATTACCCTAGTGAAGCCTTTACATGCCACTGTAAGCTGAATACTAGTGTCTTGAAGAAGATCTAGTCTAAATAAATTAGTTACAAGTTACAAATTGAAACCATTGTAATAAGAAATGCGTTTGAAAAAGAATCATCATTTCAATCACAGGAGGATAATCAGGGTAGTCCTGAACTTTACATCAATAAACCAACATTATTTATCCTGACAGACACAGAGTTAAAATAAAGGAGAGTTTTTAACATCTTACTGGAGCAGAAAAGCACGACGACATGAGAGAGGATCTAAAATTAGTGCTTTAAAAGTCAGTTTTCTGGAAAGCCTGCATTTTTCTGAATGTGCTGTAATTACAGGCTGTTCTGTTGGACGGGGAGACCGAAGACACACACACACACACACACACACACACACACACACACACTCACTATGACCATGATTTCAATGGTTAAACACTGCAAAATACTACAAACTGGTTAACTCTACGTTTGCTTGCCTTACACTGCAAAATAAGCTGTTCTCACTTAGAGTTGTAGTATTGTTTCTAGTCCAAATATCTACAAACTCTTAAATCAAGAAGCATTTTCTAGACAAGCACAAAATATAGTCCGATTTTCAGAAATAAGGAGTCAAAATGAAGAGAGTTTCTCCTTAAAACAAGCAAATAATCAGATAATGGGGAAGAGGAATAATCTTGTTTTTTCTTCTGACATAAGATTATTTTGTTTACCTCATTGGCAGATTATTTTGCTACACTACAGAATCACAACAATATATATATATATATATACACACACACACACACACACACACACACACACACACACACACACACACACACACACATATATATCTATATATATATATATATATATATCAACCTCGCCATGAAAAAAATTAAGTTTTCACCAAAATAGAGAAAATTTCTACATTTTTTGTGAAAGAAAGTATTTTACAGTCCATCAAAAATACTCAAAAATGTCTCTGTCAGTGCTTCAAACTATTATATTTAATTTACCAAAATCACACAAGCGGCAATTTCACAGCTATCACATCCCTAACGGAAAAGTGTGACATCCATAACCACACGTTCTCCTCATAAATGGAAAAATGTCAGATAAATTAAAATCCATCATTCTAGTTCTCTTGAGCAGATTCGAGTCTGTCTGATTAGCAGTGTTTCTTTTGGGTCGTGTAGTTTAATTCACAGAATTTCTACAAAGTATGCTGAATACTGTAAATTCACAACCTTTTTTGTCACATCCATAACACATTTTTATTTCCTCATTTAAAATCTAAAACATGTTTACAGATTGATATTTTTCTGTTCCTATAACTCTGTGGTTAGTTGTTTTGGAAATATAAACAGATGTGTTGATATACTGTTAGCGTATACTTTCTATGTGAAATTTCTACCCAGTGAAACTGTATTCACATCACAACATATACTGCAGTAAAACTAAATACTGCAATGTCAGTCATTCCAGAACTGTGCAGCCTCCAAAAGTCAAACCCAGACTATAAATAGACAAATAAACAAACAAATACATAAATAATAGATCTCACCTTTTTGAAAGTGATCATGTACTGAACTGCAGACTGACTGTGTGTTTGTCAGCTGTGATGCTCAACTTCTGAACTCTTTCTGATGGTAATAAAATGCACCTGATAAAGCTGCTTTAGAGCAATAATTCATCAAATTTACATGCTTTACTAATAAACTTGAACTGTCAGTTTAACAGACAGAGGCTAATCAGACCATCTGCATCAGAGCCTAATCAATCCTGAAAGCAATTAACAGCAGCCTGATCATCTGCAGATTGAGGCCAGAACGCTAATTTGACCATCAATCTGACTGTTTCTCATGCCGCAGTCACACAGGAGTTTGAGCATGTGAAATTCTGTCGTACATCGCTGCGAAAGGGGCGGGATTAAACAAGATGATTAGACATTAAAAAAGCGAGCCATTGGTCCATATTTCACACTGTCTGGAGCCAGCACCAGCTTTACCCTCATCACAGCACACGGCACTCATCATGAACGTGATTTGATTTGATATTTTAGATTTCTGTGCAGAGAGGTCATGGTTTGACCTTTGATTGGTCTCAAGTTGTCACATCATGCTATTTCGCAGGTCAGAGTTCACCAAGCTTAAACTTTGCAACGCAGTGAACTACAAAGCTTGTAGCATGAGCCTGAGTTTCTCATCTGCTGCATTCGCATGAGTATGGGGCAGAAGTGCAGTGTGACCGCGGCTTAAGAATTCAGATTGTTTTCCAATTATTTATTTATTTTATTGGCATGACATTTCAACTGTTGCTGAATCATTGAACACTACAGAAGCCATGAATACAATAGATATTGTAGAATCCATCAAACATGCATAAACAATTACTATAGATGACTATAGACAGATAAACAGACAGATAGATAGATGGATAGGTGGATAGTGGGAGGGACAGACAGACGGATGGATGGATGGATGGATGGATGGATAGATAGATAGGACAGGCGGGCGGGCGGGCGGACGGACGGACGGACGGACGGACGGACGGACGGACGGACGGACGGACGGACGGACGGACGGACGGACGGACGGACGGACGGACAGATAGATAGATAGATAGATAGATAGATAGACAGACAGACAGTCGCTGGTTCGAGTCCCGGCAGGGTCAGTTGGCATTTCTGTGTGGAGTTTGCATGTTCTCCTCGTGTTGGCGGGAATATTTGGTGGTTCGTTGCACTGTGATGACTACTGATGAATAGGCAACTAAGCAAAAGGAAAATGCATGAATAAATGAACAACTTAATCTTCTCAGATGAATATCTTTGAATTGAGATGGAACTGTGCACATATCTCACAGAAAGCGTGTAGGCATTGTTTTAAAAATGTGGAAATCACTTGTTTTTTCTTTTCCTCTAATGCAGAGATGCTCAAACTAGGGCCCACAGGCCACACTTGGCCAAAGGTAACCTTTGACTTGGCTCGTCACCCATCTGAGGAGATGGAATGATGCAGAGGCTTTTAGAGATGGTCAATTCACATCTAATGTAAGCCTTTGATTTATTGTTAAAATCTAACTAAAATTAAATGTTTCAATTAAATGGTGTGAATAAATCAGATTTAGTTTAAATATTGTCCCCCGACAACACAGAGACTGTGGTGAGCAGATTAAGGCAAAGGCAGATTCTGCTTGACTACTGTATTCAGCACTGAACTCCACTGTTATAAATGTGTTATAAGTTATCATTTAAAAGGTTATACTGCATATAAAACAATTCAAAGTAATATTTTCTATTTATTTTGAAATATTATGACATAAATTAGGAAATTAGCCATGGCAACTTTAATGTATTACAGTCTGGTAAACTGATCTTCAGCCCACAGCTCTCGATGATGTTTGGTTTTTGGCCCTTCATATGAACAGGTTTGTGCACCACAGCTCTAATGCGTGACGTTTATATTATGTTTGAATGAAAAGAGCTCAAATAAATAAACATATAAATATCCTCCTGAGCTGACGGACAGGGTTGCCAAATCCTCAGTTTTCCACCAGACTGGATTTAATCCTGCAGGTTAAAGGTGTGATGTACTGTCTCAGTTATACGGCTGTGCTGGATTATTTTCCTCCTCTACCAGAGAAAGACTGTGCTAGAATAATGAAACAGAGTCAGCAGACCTCACTGAGCTCACTAAAGCAGACACTGTCCATTATGAAACACCACAAACACAAGTCAATCTGACACATACACACACATACACACTTCCATAAACACACACACTCACACGCGCATGCACACACTCCTGACCAGCGCTCCATCAGTCCAGTTTATATTCCAGATTAAACACTGCCGACATGCTTGAGAAAACCCAATTCTCTTTCTGTCTCTCTCTCACACACACACACACTCTCTCTCTCTCCTGCAAGTGTGAGTTTTAGAGCAGAAATGCAGAGAGACGCGGGTGCTGCTGCTCTAATAAAAGCTGGCGTATTTATAATGAATGCACATATTCCAGAATATAGAGATCTTGAGTGTAAGACACACTCATCCCACAACATCTGCAGAAGAGGAAGACATGTGGACACTCAATGAGGAGTCAAAGTTACACTACAAACACACAAGAGGGAAATATTTTTCATAAAGAACATGGAGCCTGTTTTGGAGAGATGATCATTTCTATCTGTTCATAACACTGGTTCTTAGTACTATAATGCACAATGTGTGTGTGTGTGTGTGTGTGTGTGTGTGTGTTTCCCAGTACTGGGTTGCAGCTGGAAGGAAATCCACTGTGTAAAACACATGCTGGAATAGGTAGCGGTTCATTCCGCTGTGGCGACCCCACAACATATT